TACACAAGACTGTCCTTGAGCTAACGGATGTCCTGGACAATCGTCGTCCGACTGGCTGGCCTGTCGCATTTCTTGCTGCGGAGGCCGTGTAGGAACAGCTGGTCAGCAACCCTGCCCTTGGACAAATTGAACAACCTCTCGCCCTCAACTTCGTGCACGCAGAGGTACACGCTGGCGCCATCGTCGCTGGTGACGCGCACCGCTGGCTCGATGCGGAAAGCCATCTCTGCGAACCCCTGCAGAGCAAACACGGCTACAGAACGGACGACCGAACATTGACAATCGAGTCTGCGTCGAACGCAGCGCATTCGCAGCCGCTCGATTGGAGGCGAACCCGAAACGATGCAACATCGATATGCGATCTGCGCGTTTCGTCGGACTGGTCTGGGACGCAACGCCCGCATCCCAACTGATGTTCATATCACGATCGCGGCCTGCTGCAGGCGGCGATGGAGAGGGAAAGCTGGCCCTCGCAGTGGCCGAACGCTGACGGCCCTCGTGCTCAGCACCCCTACGGCGATAACTCAAACTCATACGATCGTGCCCCAGGCCTCCTCACCCAGAACTTCCTGATCGCATGCACCAGGGCTCACTTGCTCTTACGGGCCCTCTTGGACTCGAGGACGGGCTCCGAGATTTCGTCCTTCTTCTTAGTCTCCGCGGCATCCATGTGAAGCACGAGCTCATCGTAAGCGGCGACTTTCTTGAAGTTCGTCGCGCAAAGGATGACGATGTCAACGTTCGGGCTGACGCTCCGATCACCAACCGCGGGGCGCCTCCCCCTCACACTGAACTCCTTGAGCTCGCAGTTGCACAAGGACTTGTCGGACTCCACTCGCATGCACCAGAACTGGCACGTGAACTCGTCGGTCGGAGGCGCTGGCATGATGAACATCTTCGGCGCGCCGTCGACTGGAATGGCGACCTCGATTGCCTTGGGCGGGCACGTCTTGATGGTCTCGGACTGCGGTGCAATTGACCGAGAAGCAGGCGCGGCGACGTAACCTCCCACGCCGAACGCCTTGGACGCCGGGACTGCCCTGCATGGCCTTTTCATGGGGAGCGCGCTCTGCGCGCCGTACTTCCGAAGGAGCGCGTTCAAGGCGCCAAACATCATGCCCTTGAACTCATGGTTGGCCATGTCCTTGTCGTTGGCCGCATCGTTGCCAGGGTAGCCTCCTACGAACTCCTTCGCCTTGCACGTCTTGTACGTCTCCTCGATTTCCGACAATGTCTTGGAAATTGTCGTGTCGTCAATAGTGCCATCTGGTTTCACCATCTTGAAGCTGACCACCCCGCCATCCGAGACGTCGGCGATTTTCCACATGTCCTGCATTGCAGCGGACACGCCAGCACGGGGCTTGCGAAGTTGCAGGTGCACGCCCTCCGCGATGTCCTTGTTGAGCGCGGTCGTCTTGCCCAGGCCCGACGTCTCGCCGCCCTCGGTGTACTTCGCGAAGTTCGCGCCGCCAGATGCCGAAGGATATTCAGCGACATCGGCTGGCAGCTGCATCGCCGCCGCGCCCTCGCCCAGCTTCATTACGAACTTCTCGGGGATCGCCTGCAGACTGGTGGGCTGCTTGCCCTTGTCCTTGCCGACGCCCTTGCCTCTGCCCTTGTCCTTGTTCCTCTCGAGGAGGAAGTCTACGACTTCGATCATCAGATCGCCCTTGGTCGCCTCTACGGCGGCTGGGTCCATGGACGACTCGGCGAGCATCTCCTTGGCGCGCATGAGGGCGCCGTTCGCCTTCATCACGGTGGCGCGCTTCTCAGGCTTGCTCAGCGTAGCCAAGTCCTTGCTCGTGACGTTCCTGGCGAAGCCGTCGTGCACGTTCTCGTCGGACGCCGCGTGCCGAAAGAGCACGGCATTTATCACGTGTGCAGGCATGGCGTCAATGGGAAATTTCAAATCAGCCAAAGCCTTGAACATGCTGCCTGACACCACGCGGTCGGAAGGCACGAAGTGGTTCAGAAGAGGCGTGAGCTCCTTGATCAAGCCGCCGCTGGGCATGCCGCCCCACTTCTTGACGTACTCGACCATGTCTGGCACGTCCACAGCCCTGGGGGGTTGAGACTTCAAAACCTTCTTGGTCACCTCTTTGAAGTCAGGCTGCGGGCCCATGGACGACGCGGCGTCGACGATGCTCAAAAGGTTATGGTACCATGTCTCGCCTGGCGCGACTCCCCCTCGGCCCCCCTCGCTCCCACCACCCCCGCGACGCACGACAAACTCCAATGCCCCCTTCCCCCACGCCGGACGGATAAACGCATGCCGAGTGCATGTACATATCATTAAGCATATATTTGAAAATTGCTAGACTGCCTTCGGACGTCTGCTGCACTGTGTTCAGGGCACCGCCGACGATATGAGCAACGCTCGGCAACGCTGCGTGGACAACCCACTTCACGACCGTGAACTTGACGCCCACCTCGATGGCATTCCTGAGAAGGCCATGCTTGTCTCGGCTGCAGACAGTGTCGATGTGCATCTTGCCGTCCTTCGTCAAGTCGTCGATGTCGCTCTCGACGCCGTCGTGCACGCATGCAAACCCATGCAGTGCGTGCGTTGCCCCCCATGCTCCCACCCTGATCTCCTCCTCCTTGTAGTTCGCAAAGCATGCATGCGTAGCGCATTTCTTCGCCGTGTATTTGGCGTACTCCCTCGTGTGCGGGTTGTCTTCTCCCGCCACCGCGTTGTTGGCAATGGCCTTCAAAGAAAACCCTGACGTTTTGATGACCTGCACGCGCCCGTGAGCCCGACGCCACTGAACGCCCTCGCCACCGCGATTCCGCTCCCATGCGCCGACCTGCTTGGAGTGATACACCTGCTCGAAAGATTGCGAGTACTTCTTGCAAATGTCCAGGATGCGATCTTTCAGCTCAGCGTTTCCAGAACTTGAAGTGGACGCCGATGCATCCCATTCGTCACAGATCTGTTTAAGCTCTGAAAAGCACGGCGTCGACTTAAAAACCGCGATGCATTGCTCCATTGTCGTCGCCATGCTGGCGTGCAGACGCGACGAGCGAAAGCGTGATCAGACGCGAGAGGGTGATCAACCGCGACAAGCGAAAGCGTGGACAAGCGAAAGCGTGATCAACCCTCGCCTCAACAGACTGAGCCATCATGTGGTACGGACAACGACATCGACATAATTATTTCTAGTGCAACTGCGAAGCGCAATCACCGACACGCGAACACAGCGACGACCCGATGCGACTCCACGAACACAAACATGACATCCGACGAAAGGACAAGCGTGACATTCTCCAGCCGTGATACTGCGCGCATGCATGCTCAACCGACAGGCGATACTTCTACACAACGCCATTGCACATTGACTAGAGACAACGCGTCGGATGTCGAACGGTGCAGATTGGCTACTACACTGGCGGAGGACCCAACCATGCGCAGTTGCGAGACCCGCATTTGTGAGAGCATCGTCTTCGGATGAGGATAAAGGTTGGAGGGGGCGCGTGGCGCTGTCTTTGCAAAACGAAGGCCCAAAACACATGATGATAGATAGTCCTACTAAGGATAGGTCATCGTCTTAGTGGTCTCATCGCACGCGGGCGTCATGTGATTCGCATATCGACGCCGAATGTTTCTATTTACTTGGAGGGCCCTTTATTTTTTGAGGGGGGACCTGTATACTTTTCGGGTGGTCACATCTACTTTTTGGGGGTCATATATATATATATGTTGTACATGTTGGGGCGCTCCACTATGTGTTGAAGGGGTCATTCATTCTGCTGGGAGGGTCCCATATACGTTTCTGTTTTTCGTCGTCAGGTTATAACTAAGTTAAGTTGCCCGTGCATAAGTCAATCGCAACCCATCCAACCATTCGCTTTTACTTCCTAACCCCCGTGGGGGTTAGTAAACGTTGCGGCTGCGTTAGGCACGTTGGAGCAGACTAACTACCACGTCACAACAGGGTTGGCCGAAGATGCAACAGCGTTGCAAGCAAACGAACAACGAAGTGGGGGGTGTCGCCGGGGCCCGCCGCAGCGTCACCGTCTTTCCCCGCCTGGGGGGCGTCGCCGGGGCCCACCTGGGGGGGTCGCCCCCCCCCATCGCCGTCGATCCTTCCTGCGCAGGCGCCAGCCCCGAGCCCAGCCGGGCAGGGGGTGGGGCGGCCTTCCCCAGGGGGCCGCCGGGGCCGACGCTCGAACCCACGGGGCCCACATCGGCGCTTCCGAGGCGTCCCCAGGTCCCTCCTCAGCGGGCGCGGCCCAGCAGCCAGGTGCCAGAGGCACTAGTTCCCCCCCGCGCTCCTGGCGCGACTGGGGCTGCGTGGAGGCTCCACCCCCAACCCGCGGGGAGGCAGGGCACCAGGACGCACAGCCACGCCTGCCCGCCCGTTTGCCCCAGGAGGGCATGGCTGCCCGTGCACCTGCTCAGCGTTGCACCATCGCGCGCGGCCCGCGCGCGCGCGACAAGCGCTCATGCCAGCCGCAGGGCCCGACACTCGATGCCACGGCTACCTCTAGCTCCACCCCCCCCATAGAGGGGTTGGAACTTTAGCCAAAATGGCTGCGGTGGTTTCGGGAACACGCATGGCGCGAACAATCGTATCACGCGGCTTGTGAGAGCACCCCTGCTTCTTACAAGGCGCGGGCCTTGCCTGTAGATGTAGGGCTAGCGCCTTCTAAGAAATAGGCTCCTTTTGAAAACCCTTCCCCTGTCCCTCCACCCCTGTGCGCGCCGCCAGGTGTGGAAGCGGAACCTGTCGCTACGGTGGGGGCGTTGGTTCAGGAATGTGCCCCATGCAGAGGCTTCAGACCCTAGAGGGTTCCTGATCTGATGAGGGCGGCGGCGGTATCCATGGCCAAGCCTCCCTTGGTCTTCCACAAGACCCTGGATTCCATCCCCAATGGTTCCTTATCCAGTGCACTCCGCGTGACACACGCGCTGGTACCCATGACTGCAGTTCCTTGAGAGGGGCCCCGTCCAGCCGGCCGATGGGAGGCTCACGCGAGCGCGCGCTCCCCGCGCAGAGGAGGACGCGCGGCAGCAGCAGCTGCGCCACCGGGCGGCCGTGCGCATCCAGGCGCGCGGGGCGGCCGGCCTCTTCCGGGCAACGGTCCCGACACTGGCGAAGACGTTTCGTTTGTCCGTGAATCGGGGAGACGGAAGACTCGAGTGCGCCGGAGCTCGGGTATGCCAACGCTTTCTGACGAGCACGTCCGGGATTTTCACGGTCCAGTTTTCGTGGGGCGTTTGCAGCGAGAGCTCGCATCAAATTTCAGATTGAGTCTCGTCAGTTTCATGATGCCCCCGTCAGGCCAACCCGAGTCTCCCGAGCCCGAGTCTCACGTCTCCCCTATTGAATGCTTTCCAGCCTCGGAATGCTTTCCTGCAGCTGCGCCTTGCCGAGAGCGTTCCAGGGGTGCCCAGATCGTCCCGAACGGCCGCCGGAGATCCGAGTCTCCTCGTCGTGGAAAGATGTTTGGTTGTTTTGGTTGTTGTTTTCGGCCTCTGGGGGGCCTCCTGCGGGCCCCCAGACTGGGGATGAAACGCTCAGAAAATTACCGGGTTGGGAGGATTGGGTTAGGAGGATTGATCATGCCATCAGGTCGGGAGTTCTGGGGGCGCCGCGAAATTAGAACATCGGATGTCTGGGTCGGCCGCCTCAACGACGCGTCCTGGCAAGTGCTTCTAGGCGCCCTGGGGAAAAAGCGTCCTGGGAGTTGCCTCTGGGCGCTCCCAAGTGCCTGATGAACGCTCCAAGGAAGCCACCTGGTAGGTCCCTTCGGGCGCTCAAGGGCAAGGTTCTGCCACGTACCTCCTGGCCCCCCACGGAAGCATCCTGGCAGGCACCCGGCCCATGCCCTTCAACGTGCTAAGATGCAACTCCTGGGAGGTTCAATTCTGAATCGGCGCTGGTATTTCACTGGTCGAACACAGGCCTTATTTGCTCAAACCCCGCCTAATCCCGCCGAGTCCGGTTTAATTCGGGTTCGTCTGGCTTTTTCTAGGGCTTAATCTGGCCTGATCCGGCTCCATGGCCCCTTATCGTGGCTGCTAGCCCCTGACCATTCTGGCGAAGACCTCCTAGGAGATGCCTCCTAGAACACGTTGGTCACACATGTCAAGCCCTCTGGGCGCCCCACGGAAGCATCCTGGCAGGCTCGTAATTTCTCTTCAACGTGCTAGGATGCAACTCCCGGGAGGTTCAATTCTGAATCTGCGCTGATATTCCATGGGTCGGAAACTAGCCTAATCTGGCTTCGCTCCGCTTAATTCGGTTCAACCATCCAGGTTAATTTGGTTCAATCTCGGGATTAGTACAGCCTGGCTTGCATCAATTGCCCCTGAATCGGGCACACTCCGGAGTGTGCCCGATTCAGGGGCAATTAATCGTTCATCGTTCTGACGCAGAGCTCCCAGGTGGTGCCGCCTAAAACGTGTTGTTCACAGCTTAAGTCCGAGGGGTTTCCCCGTTTTCAGTTCCATCGGGGAACCTCGTGGGGGCCCAGCACGGTCAGAAAACGATCGGGACGACAAGCAGGGGGAGGGGCCGGGACTTCTGATCACCCCGTGTTTACAGAAGTTTGGGCATCTTGGCGCCTGGGCCGGTTGGCCTTCTGGGCTCTCTGATGCCGAACATCGGCGTTCACTTCTTTGCCTCATGTTTGGCTTCGCTCGTCGGCCATTCCTCGTCGCTCGTCTGATGCGGTGCCGCGTTGCGCACGCCTAATTTGGAGTCGCACGTCGGCCATTCCTCGTCGCCTTAGCGGAGCGTTTCGTTTTGCGTTGGTGATTGCGCTGACGATTTGGCTGGTGGTTTTGTGTTGTCGGCGGTTGTGCTGGTGACTGTATGGGTGGTTGTGCTTCTGTTTGTGTTGTGGTTGTGGTGGCTGTGCTGATGGTTATGCTGACTGCGGTGGTCAGCACCGGGTGCGTGTGGAGGTGCTTTTTGTCGTGGTGAATTGGCTGGTGTGTGTTGCACCCGCGCACACACACACACACACACGCTCACACACGCGCACACACAAATCATGATTGGTCCTCGACTTGTTTCGGAGTTCGATTTGTGACCGCGCACACCGCTTGATGCTCGAGTCTCCGGCAGCCCCCGGGGGTTCCGCCTGATAATTCTTTCTTCTCCGCCTGACGGTGGAGAGAGCCACCGCCTCCCTTTCTCGAAACCATTTGTCGACTTGGTGAAGGGGGGCCATGCTGGGCCGTCTTGGGCCATCGTGGACGCTCTAGCGCGTCCCCGCCCTGGCCCAGACCCAGACACATTGGGGGGGGGCGTTGGGGTGGGGCACTTCCCTTCCCGACGGGACTGGTGGAGGTTGGAAGAAGAAGAAGAAGAAGCAGTGAAGACGCTGCTGTGAGGACCACCTCTGGCCAAGGGAGAAGAGCTGGTTCCCGGGCCGATCCTCAGATCCAGCTCGGGGAGGCTGTTCGTGGTCGAGGCCCCCGTGACCATAAGCGCCCCCATCGTTCCGATGTCGCCGCGCCGTTTGTTCCCACGCGCGGCCTTGCGTCTTGGGGAGGGCGCCGCGGCCACTAGGGCAAACTCTTCCTCCGGCGCAGGGCTTACCGTGTTTGCCGCGGCGCTGGCTGCGTCTCCTTGGGCGCGCGGCGCAGGGCTTGCCGTGGGTTTGCCGTGGTGTCGGCGTCGTCCACTTGGGCGCGTCAAGAACAAACAGCGCGGATAAATATGGCACCACGACGCCTGTAACCCAAGAGCGCTCTGAGATCTCCGACGCCGTGATAATGTCGCAACGTGAGCCCCCGGAGATCTGGACCATTTCCCTGGGACCAGCAGGGGACCCCCTCTCCTCCTCCTCTTAAGCCTCCTTCGTATCATCCTCATCTTTCTTCATCTTCTTATTATTTTCCTCCCCTCGCAGCCACGGGCGCTCCTCCTCATCCTCCTCCTCGTCCTCCTCGTCCTCCTCTTCCTCCTCCTCCTCCTCCTCCTCCTCGTTCTCCTCGTCCTCCTCAGTCCTCGATTCTCGATTGTCGCTTCCTACCAGTTTTCATGACGAGTCGGTCGTTGACGGTCCTGCGGCCCTGTGAGGGCCCCTTGCACAAAAACACCAAGATGTTGTGTTTTTCTTCGCGGCGCGAGGGTGTGCGTGCTGGCCAGAGTCCCCCTACTGGCGCGCGGAGCGCGCCAAGGGGTCAGAGGAGGAAAAGGTACCGATACCAGTACCCTTGCCTCGTTTTCCTTTTTTTTTTGGCCCTCCTGGGAGGCCCCCGTCGCCACCGCTGGATTCGCCTCGGAATTCTGGCCAGAACGCACCCCGTCAGAGGTCTGGGGAGGAGCGGTATCGGTACCTTTTGGTTTCCCCAAGGGGGCTGCGCCAGAGGCGCCGCCAGGGGTGCCCAGCGCCGATCCAAGAGTTCCGCGAGGATCTCCGGACGTTTCTATTTTCATGCCGCGGTCTGCCCCCTCAATGTGGGCCGCCCTGCGGCCCGCGCCCAGCCTGAACTGGCCGACGCGCGCGCGAGCGCAGCGATTCCCCGTCGGAGGCCGCCGCGACCCCCAATCGCCCACTGATCGCCGATCGGACTTGCTAGCCCAATCCGCTCAGGCCCATGCGGTTGCGCGATCGGGGGCACGTCGCCGATACATCTTGGCGATACATCGTTGATTCCAGGATGATGCTTTCTCCTCCCCGAGCCAGTCTTCCATTCACATTTCCCCTCATCTGTTTAAGTTGCATTTCGATCCGAGCGATCCGATTCGATACCGACTGGCCTGCCCTCTACGATTCGAATCCGTCGTTCCGACGATCCGATGCGGCTCAATGCTTGCGTGGCGCTGTTGCGCATTCTGGCAGAGCCGATCCGATTCGACTTCGACCCCAGGCCGATGCAGCTCGATCTGGCGTACCTTCCGATTCGATGTGGTTTCCCGATTCGATGCTGATTGATTCTGCCTGTGGTGACGAACGAACAACACACAGCGCACAACACACAGCGCACAACACACAACATACACACAGCACACACACAGCACACACACCACACACACAGCACACACACAGCACACAACCAAACACGCACACACACACCCATACCCTTGGGGGTGACGGGGGGAGCTATGGGTGCGTGTTGTCTGATGGGGGATCCCCGCTAAAACGGGAGCCTCCCCTAGGGCCCGACAACCCTCAACCATACCCATAGCCAGTCCTGCTCCATCCGACCCCCCTAGGGTTATGGGCACGTGTTGTGCGTTCCCGCCGCGTGAGCTGGCCCCGCCGCGCGCTCTCTCCCACTCGACTGTCTACGCCGCGCCGCCGCGCGCGTGGCCGCATCGCCAAAACGTGTGTGCTGTTCGCTCGTCCTGTGGGCCGCCTCGGACGGGGCCGGGACGAGGACGAATCAGTTACACAGCGTTCCGGAAGGCTCGGAGAAGTCCGCGGTGCCCGAGACGTCTTCCGGACGTGCGGGATCTCAGAGGCTCTCGACTGACCCGCACCCGATGCTGTCCCCGTCCTGGCTTCGTCCCTCCGCCCCGCGGCCCGCGCCTGGCCCGCACTGGCCGAGGCGCGCGCGCGCGAGAGCGCAGCGACGGACCCCCGCCGGAGGCCGCCGCGCGGGCCGCGCTGGGCCGCTGGCACCCGCGCGTCGGCGCGGGCAGGCCGGCCGAGGTGCCGCTGCTCACGCTGCCGGTGCCGGGAGGCCGCTGCGCCGCTCGCTGCGACGCTCGCTCGCCGTCGGACGCTCGCTCGGCGCTGCCATGCCTTCGCCTTTTCTGGGGCTCCTCGGAGGCCCTCGTCGCCACGGGCGGACTCGCCTCGAGATTCTGGTCAGAACGCAGCCCCAGCGGATGTCCAGGGAGTGGCGGTATCGGTACATTCTGGTTTCCCCAGCTCGGCGCTCTTTCGCCTCCGATGTCATTCAGGAGAGGGTCAGGGGCAGCGACAGAGTTTCCAGAGGCTTCCGTCGGTTCTTCCTGGGTACTGTCCTGCCTCGGGGTGCGTCTCAGCAGCTGCGCCTCGCCGAGAGCGTTCCAGGGGTGCCCAGATCGTTCCGGACGGCCACTTGAGACCCCAGTCAGTTATGACCCTAAGACCATACGACGAGGATCATTCGGGGGAACCGCCGTTTTCGACCTCCAGGGGTCCTCGCTTGGCCCAAGGGCCACCAAACATTTCTTCGGAGGAGGCGGAGGATAAGAACGGAGGAGGAGCAGGAGGAGTAGGTCGGCCACGCGCAGAGGAGAGTGGGGGGAGGCGGGAAGGCTTCTTAGAAGCATTCCCCCCTCCCCCCCTTGTGCGCGCCGCCAAGTAGGGGCAGTCCCCCCTTCCTCCTCCGCCGAGCTCCAGGTCCCTCGGAGGAGGGCAGCAGCTCCAGCCTTCCTTCGGACTGAGGAGTAGCAGGAGGAGGAAGGCCTCCGCCCCCATCCCTTCCTCCTCCGCCGAGCTCGGCTCCTCGGGTGGGGGGCAGCAAAACCCCCGCCTGTTCTTCGGCGGCGGCTGCCCCGCAGTCGATGCTGGCCTCGACCACCCTTCCTCTCCTTCGCACCCGCTGGCGAAGGCCCTCCCCGATAGTAACGGCTCCATGGTCTCCCCTTCCCCCCGGCTGCAAGCCAGGGCTGCCCACCAACCGTGGACCCTCTCAATTGGAGTGGTGGTGATGGTGGGGGAAGGTGCCTTCTCGGCACTGCACCCGGCGGATGGCTACGCCTCTTGCTTCTCCTCCTCCTCCTCCTCCTCCTCCTCCTCCTCCTCGTCCTCATCCTGCCCCGCTTCGCTCCTCCTCCTCCTCCTCCTCCTCCTCCTCCTGTCCTTCCTCCTCCTCCTCCTCCACCTCCTCCGTCCTCCTTTGCTCCTCCTGCCTCCACCAAGCTTCCGTCAAGCCTTTTTCCCTCAAGCCATGCTTGCCCTGCTCGTTCCCTCGCTTCCGTCAAGCCTGTTTGGCCGACCTTGTTCCGTTCTCCTCCCCGTCCTGCTCCCGCGGCCCCTCTCCTTGCTCATCCCTCCCTCCTACTTGCCCTGCTCGCTCTACAGTGGGAGCCCATGCCAAGAGAAACCCAGCTTGCCTCCAGGGTGCCCTAGGTTTCTTGGGTTTCGATGGTTTCGCTGTGGAGAGCGTGGCGTTCCCACCAAAAACCAAAGACGTCCTGGGATCTCAGGTTTGGGTTTCTTGTGGGAGGTTTCTTGCGGTCGAGCTCCCACTGCATCCTTTGTCCTCCTTACCATTATTCTCGTCTTTCCTCCTACCGCGGGGGCGGCGGGCTCCGTGCCCAACCCCGAAAAGTGGCCACAGAGATCCCCCGCCTCCTCATGCTCTTCCCCCTCCTCGTGTCTCCCGTACCTCGTGCTCCGAGTCGCTTGCCAGCAGATGCAGCCCGCTGGAGCGGCGAACGGTGCATCAGCCGGCCCAGTCACACCTCGCCACCTTTGGGGGGGGGTCCTTGATTGTTGATGTCAAACACCACCCTCCTCCAACCTGCCCCTGTCTCCTCCCAACTACGTTGAAATACGTCATACGAAGTTTAGGAAGAGGCTGTACAGCGAACGCTATATCCGACGCTGTCTTGTGTCATTGCAGCGTTGTCCTAAGTGCCAGTTGCACGACTGAGTGCGACTCTATTTGCAGATCGCACCAACGACAAAAGCCACGTCCTGCTATGATCCATCTCCCATTCCCATGGTTTCTCTCTGACCTTCTCGCTTGCCATCAAGGGATGACTTGTGGGATACTTCGATACGTCGCCCACGTTGTCCTAAGAGTGGGTTCTCAGCTTGTTAGCTCATGGTCAAGCCCTGTACCCTTACTTTTCATTTGGTAGCGGATCTGGCTGCATCTTCACGTGGCTGGCTCTTACATCATGTGTTCTGTACATAACAACCTACCACGGCGCAGTGGAGTACCCGACTGCGCTGGCTCTCAGCCGCGACACTTCCAACATTCTCGAATCAGCTGGTAACTTATAGTCCTTTTTCCTCCATCTCCCCACTGCGTGGCCACACGTCACGCACGATTCAAACCCCGAAATGTATTCGCAAGTTGACGGCCATGTCGGGCCAGACACCCAGTCGCAACCGGGCCGGGTTCGGCAACATCCACTTAAATGCATCCTATCATCATCAGGTACAACATGGTTTTGCACTATGTTCAGGTCGCTATATTTGGAACAATCTGGGTGTGCCTAGGTCTTACCGTGGCATATATACATGCGAGGAGGAGGCCTGGATGAAACCCGCACTCGGGGTCCTTTCTTTGGCCCCACCGGTAACGCACCCTTCCGCGACTTTGTTCGCGACCATTTTTTGTTTAAATGTGCGCTTGTCTGTGCGTCTGCCTCTGCCCGTTTGTTTCCGTCCATGTGTGCGCCTTATTCTCTATCTGTCCGTCTGTCTGCTCGATCGCGTATGCCCGTGCTTGGGGGTGCCGCCCAGATGGCCATCGACGGCGTGCCCCGAGAAGCCAGTCCGCCCCCCCAAAAAAAATCCGCGACTTTGTTCGCGAAGTACACGCATGGCTTAACGTCAGCGGAAGCATGACTCCACCTCAACTGGCCGCAGCAGCTTTACAGCGCGGTTTAGGATGATTGGCTGGGTCACTAGCCATGAGGGTGCCGCCCACCATCATCAGTTATGGTGTCCCACTACAGCGGAGACGCACCGACGGAACCACATACATCATGTACCTGTTAAGCACCAAATTAGAAATCCTTGACGAGTCACAGTTCACCTCGGGGACAGCCCTCATCGACTTCAGGGTCGAGAGAGGCGAACGCATCGACCCAGTGGACCGATTCGAGATGGCCAGGCTGGAAGCAGACTCAGCAGGCTTCAACCTTGCCAACTTACAGATCATTACTCTGATATTATTTCGTGCTTTGGGGGCTAATACCTCCCAAGCAGCACAGCTGCTGCAATCGCTGAACCACCAGATGCCCCGTACTCAACAACAGCACGACCAACTCCTGGAGCGAATGCGCAGCCACGGACACTTGGCTGGGCGTTCCCCAGGGAACATCGGGAGCATCTTCAGCGGACGCAGCGCTGGCACTTACCACGCCGAAGTAAGCGACGCACCGACAGCCATGCCGAAGAGCAGCTGGAATGACGGATAGCCCACCTAGTTCATAGCGTCTTCATCGCATGAGACCCCCAAGCGTGCAATAAACACTCCCAGCGATTTCTTGTTTGCGACGTCGCGCGGGCGCCGGTTGAGCGCGAAGGCGAGAAGGGCCGCATCTTGTAACCGAGCAGCTCTTCATTACATCGCGGGTGCAAGATTGCAGGCGCGCTGGCATCGCGTAGTGACATCGCACCAGGACGACCTTGCGGGGCAATTGTGCGTTCACTCGACTGGCCGCGACGTTTCAGCGCGGTCGCAACGAGTGCAAACGGGGCCGCGTTTCCCGTGAGGCGTCGGCTGCGCTGGGGCCAAAAAGCGGATGCGGGCAGATCGCGGGGGGTCAGTGCGAAAAGGGGCAATTGGGAGACGCGGGAGGCTGGGCAACGCATGAATATATGAAGAGCCAAGGCGGGACGTCCCCCTCTTCCTCCTTGTCCCCACGCGCCCCCTGCCAAAAAAGAGGGCCTTCCCCTGCGGTTTTCGCGTTCGCGGGGAGCAAAGGGAATCCGATGCCGCGGGCCTCGCAGAGACGGTCACCGCGGCCCTCTCCGTCGAAGATAGCCTAGAGTTGAGCCACTTGCTCCGCGCTGATTTCTTGCAGCCCGTGCCAGGGAAGGACGACGATTTTTCTCACCAGTAGGTCGTTCCACGACAGCGAAATCCGCTGATATCCAAGGACCAAGCCTTCACGTTTCAGCGTCCCGACGGACGGAACAGCAAGGCGCCGCCGCGCGCGCGCTGGTCTTGCGCCATGGTGGAACTCCCTATGGGGCCACGGTCCTCGAGCGGGGGGAGGCCATTGAGCCCGCGTGCGGAACCTGCCATCAGGGTCCTCAATCGAGCTCACAATGGGGCCGCGATCCTGGCGAGGGGTGTGCCGAAAATGGGTGCGGAAACCACGTGTTGACCCTGCCGCTGGGGCCTTCGGTGGAGCTCTGTTTGGCGCCGCGATCCTCGGGAGGGGCGTGCCAGAATGGGCGCGGAGCCCACGTGCGGACCCCGCGCCTTGGGTTTTCGGTGGGGCTCCCTTTTGGGCCACGATCCTCGTGAGGGGTGCGCCGAAAATAGGTGCAAAGCCCGCGTGCGGTCCCTGCCGCTGGGGCCGTCGGTGGAGCTCTGTATGACGCCGCGATCATCGCGAGGGGTGCGCCGAAATGGATGCAGCGCCCGCGTGCGGACCCCGCGCCTTGGGCTTCCGGTGGAGCTCCCTGGGGCCACGATCCTCGTGAGGGGCGTGCCGAAATTGATGCAGAGCGCACGCGCGGACCCTGCCGCGGGGGCCTTCGGCGGGGCCCTCTACGGGACCGGACCCCTTTGCGAGGGCCGTGCCGACGTGGATGCGGAGCCTGTGTGCGGACTTTGCCACGGGCCTTCGGTGGAGTTCCCTCTGGGGCCGCGATCCTGGTGAGGGGTGCGCCGGAACCGATGTGGGGCCCACGTGCGGACCCTGCCGATGGGTCTTCCGGTGGAGTTCCCCATGAGGCCACGATCCTCGTGAGGGGTGTGCCGGAATGGATGCGGAGCCAGCGTGCGGACCCTGCCGCTGGGGCCGTCGGTGGAGCTCTATATGGCGCCGCGATCCTCGTGAGGGGTGCGCCGGAATGGGCGCGGAACCCGCGTGTGGACCCTGCCACTGGGGCCTTCTCCCCATGGGGCCGCGATTTTCGCGCGAGGCGTGACGAACTGGATATGGGGGAGGGGAGGAGAGGGGGGAGGAGGGGAGCAGGAGGGAGGAGACGCGGGGCGCTGTTTTTTTCAAAACGAGGACCCAACATCACAGGATAGTTGGGGAATGCCTTGCGCGAGCCTGTCGTCCTCCTCCTGCTGCATCTCCGCGGACAGCTTTTGGGCGCTCGCAGACTCACGCCGGGCTTCCTAGGAACAGCACCTGGGCCGAATTCGGCGCCGAGGCGGCGGCCCCACATCTGAATTTCAGAACAGCCCAACTTGAAATTCAGACGGGCCCAGTCTGAATTTCAGAAAGGGCCAGTCTGAATTTCAGAAAGGGCCAATTTGAATAATCCGTAAGGGCTTCGCCCCATGCCGCCAGCCCCCTGTCTCGGATAATGGGAGATGCAAAAGCTAAATCATAGGGTCTGGGCGCAGCCGTGAAGCAGTATCGGGACCTGTTTGTTTTTCGACCCTGACCCTACGGATCTGCGTGAGGGGTGCCACCGAATTTCAGAAATGTAGCAAATCCTATGTGTTTTTTTGGACCCTGACCCTGTCGATCTGCGTGAGGGGTGCCGCCGAATTTCAGAAATGTGGCAAATCCCA